TTATGGCCAACAAGTAGTTATATTATATTTCATTGTTACTCTGATCTAATTCAATATTCAAAAAGGAGATATGATTTTTTGGAAACAAACAGAAACTTCAGATTTTCACTATTTACAAGAAATACGTAACTGTGGCATATTTTGTAAACTATCATTAGGTACGTTCTCACACGTCTAAAAACGCCGATGCTGACACTGTTTTTTTGTTGTTGTGCAAATATTACCTAATCTGCTGAATTGTCTGCTCGCATTCTCACTTAGTAAAAACACAGGTGTTTTGCGCCCACAACGAATCATATCATGGAAAGGTCAATAAACAAATTGAAAGGTCAATCGACAACATGACATCCTTATGGTAAATGCATTTGCTTTGTTTCTGTTTTTCCGTGTGTTTTTACGCTCGAGAAGAAGGCAACGACGATCGATTATTCGAGATTTCGAAAAGCAGGAAATCGCAAACTTGTTAGGTCGAGCAAGCCGAGAAATGATCGGTTCATGTTCACGCTATTCATGTGTATGTATAACGCAACAATAGACCAAGCAACCCGAGCGATTTGGACTCGAGAACGTGGAAATAACTGGTGGGAAGAAATAGGATTCTAGTTTATAATAGCAATCTAGTTTCTTCGTCTGACCAGTTCGACTTGTGACCTCTGATGCCATTTTGTGTAATGTCAAGCAAGTAATGTCAAAATAAGTCGGCGACAGAGGGCGTTTGGCCGTGTTCACACGGCTCATTCTATTGTGCAAGAGCCTGTGTGACCAGGGCGTTTAGAATCTGGTCCACCCCTTTTAGGACGGTGTCAAAAACGCCAGCGCCCCAACGGCAAATTCTGCTCACACACACATTTTAACAACGTTCTCAAATCAAAGGCGTTGTGACAACGGCTTATTTAGTCCTTGAGAACACTACTATTATCTTAACTTCGTAACTGTGGCCTTGTTTGTAAACCGGCATTGTCTTAGTTACGTAACTTTGGCATATTTTGTAAACCGGCATTGTAAATTAAGCCTTTGCAACTTGGCTGGGAGTCCAAATCACATATTATGTCTAGGCAGATAACTTTTTGACTGCTACGGCAGAGGCAGCGGCACGAAATTTGTCTTGGGGGGGGGATGAGATCTGCTCACCAACCTTGCGCCGAAGGCACGACCGAACCAGGGCTCCGGGGCAGGCTCCCCTTAAACGTTTAGAAATCTAGACCGTCTGAAACACAATTTCCTGCATTTTGAGAGGCAAATTTTGCTGACACAAAGGGTCTCAGGTTGAATTTAGAGAGGCGACGCCCCCGCCCAACTTTTTTTTCGAGGGGGCGATTTCCCGCTCTGCCCCTGTGCACTGCTACGTTTTTTACTTCGACCTTTAATGAATCAACACTTTATCAAATTACAGAAATTGTACTTCGAACATTTTTATAGATGACCTAACCGAGTCAGTCCGCCATGGGATTTTAAACATATTGCAAAGGTTGGAAACACATTAAATAATTTGAAATTTGCAATTTTGCCATCCATTGAAAACAAAGAAGCACAAACGTTGACAGAAATGGAACACGGGAATTGTTATAGAAGACGCTACCTAATACATTTCAGTTTGGAGTTTAATCCAGCATTTTGACAAGCCTGGGTATGCAATTGTCAGCAAACTTTGCACCTTTCCTAAACGATCATAGTATGCTGTTAATGTGAACCCTCTCTCAGTGACCCCCCAAAGACCCTTGTAACCAATGACAACAGGTCTCCCTTAAGTCACGATTGAAGCACCCGTAGCAGACACATTTCTTTCAGGGGTCGCGTTATTGCATGATACAGCTTCGCCTTATTTAATAGTGCAAGAGAGGTGTATGAACAAATGCACATGAATGAGTTTTTGTCCAAAAGATTTTTATTTAATAAAAGCAGAAATTGTTCTCTACCGAACAATACATAACATGAATATAACCTACCCTCAAAACGGGGAAAAACACACACTTGTCCATTATAAGAAATATACAATAAGTGCCTAAAATCTAATTTAACCTATCAGTTACAGCAATCCGCTCACTATAAAGTCAGCGAGCATAGCATTGACCCTCACCCTTTAACAAATGAATCACTAAATACGTGAAAAGTTAAAGGGATCCACATAAAGTGTAATCGAGAACTATCTATTTTCAGGCCTGAATACACAAATATGGAACGAAAATAGTACTTGACATTGGGTTTGCTGTAAAGTACGACTATTTTTAGCCAGTCGCACAGTCGCTGAAAAAGTCAAAACACACAATAAGAACTATGTAGCCAGATTCATTGAAAAATGTACGGTTGTCAGGAGAAAAAATATTTGACTACAGAAACAGCCGTTCATTGAATAAGATACTCCCTACGTAAATTAAAGATACAGTAAATCCGCAGATTTAACACAAAAGTATAACGACAAAAAAGTATACAACTCATTCAAAGTAATTAGCAAACAGCTAAGAGTAATCACTTATGCACCTTAGATTTTAGAAAATGTGGCATGCACTTCTCGAAATGGGTCCAACCGAAGTATTTTATGAACATTGTGTTCACAAATCACGTATCTTGGATGGCGGTTATGTCCACAAACTTGATCACTCCATGCACAATAATCGATGATTGAAACAGTCCAATTACCGTCACAATTACGCTGGCACCCCTGATGTTCGATTATATTTTTGTCAGAGCACACAGTCTATCAAAAGCATAGAAACATTCTAATTGTCAGAGCCTTGTTCTTTCCTCGTGCTCATAGAAATTTTCCGGTTGCAACTTTTTCAGCTTTAAAAATCAACCCCGTTTTGTCGAGTAAATATGCAAAAGTGATGGGTGGTTGGAAGGAAAAATATACAACAACGATAAAGCTTCAAACAAAAGAGACAAAAGATATAAAACTTGTTCTCTCTCCACGCACACTACCTTCCATGGAAAATCCAAAATGACACGAATATGACATGGTCACACATCCAAATTGTAAAAATTGTGTCTGGATACCACAAAACCCTTAAAACAAATTGCGCTGGTTAATATAACTCAATGCTAGGTACTCTCTGACTAAATAATAATAATAAGGGGCTTGTTCACAATACACGATGAACTACTTTGGGTGATTTTGAAACCAAACATGTGTGGGCTACCTATACTAACATCCTTCTTTGAGGACAAGTCTAACCCATAGTCTAATACCAATTGGTGGAATTCAGCAAATTCCATTGTTACATTACGAATAAAAGAATTACAATTATATACATTAATGAGTATTCAATCTGGTATCTGAAATTCCCAATGAACATTTCCTATGCATTTCATTAGAAAGCAATTTACATGAAACAAGAAAATATATTGATTTTATTATAATTATTTCGTAGATCACTGTTTTGTTAATTTAAAAAAAAAACATAATTAAAGAATCTAATATATTTTCAAAAAAATATTTATGTATTTGTTGTGCACTCGTATTCTAATGCATAATTTTGCCCAGGTCTATCTGGATAACCATTGATTAGACTTGCTCTCTCATCTCCGGCATAACAGTTCTCCATCACGTTTACATAGCTAGTATTTCCACTACCACTTGATGCGTACAAGCCTGTCTTGATATCTGGATATAGGGTGTTGGACGGAATCTTTACACGAACACGTCTGTATTCGTCTTGCACATCTGACGAAATTACAAAATCAAAAAAATGCGTGTTTACTTGATCTGGGTATTTCAATATACATCTCTTGTATGAAGTAGACGTGGGAGCTATTTCCATGACTGTCTGGTCGTCTCCTAAAACGCCATCTTCTTCATACGGGTCTCCTGTACGAATGAATCCACTGCATTTGAATTCAATACAAGCTGCAGTCTTATTAGAAATTTCAGAATTAGGAGGATTTGGCTTAGAATAATCTATACGGATACCATACATTGCGTCTCCAGCAGCAGTGCTTCCTCCGCCAAAACTAGACACTCGGAACCGTTCACTTCTGTCGCTATCAACCAATATCTTTATAAAGCATGAGCGTTTCAACTCACCTTCATAAGGATACCATGACAATTCAGTACGCAGTTTTTCGTAGTCGTCATTACTGTTCCATATATCGTATGGCTCAGTGTTATATGCAAATGCATCACCATGTCTTCCCTTTCCTGTAAACACAACGTGATTTTCAGTATTATTAGCCATCATGCATGCGTCTTTAGCTAAATAATAATCCCACCAATGCCAATAAAATGGACCGAATTCACGGTTTTCATACTGTTCATAATCATATAGTTCATATTCATATTTGTAATCATAGTACCACCACCCTCCATAATAGCTCTTGCTGTCAGCCATTTGTGGCGTGAGGCCCTTCATCGTGATGAAAATAGATGGTTCGGTTGATCCATCACTCAATTCCACAGTATTTAATAAATCTTGTGGCCATGTTCCAGAATGACTTGCAGCAGACACGCTCCTTGGGTCATGTACAGTTAAGTAAGTTCCTACGTATTTTGTACTGACGTTAATGACGTAAAACGAATCATTGCGAGCACAAAAAGTCCGCACACATGCACTTCCATCCACACCAGTAGTAGCCCTGTTAAAAAAGCTGAAACGACCTCTTCCAAAATCGGGTGCATATCTATCAAACACAATTTGTTCATTTGTTATAGCGGTTAGTTCCACACCAGAGAGTGGGTGTAACATAGTTTCACCTTCATAAACTCTGACTTTGAGGTAACACACGTTTCTCGTGTTTACAAATTGGTCAATGTTGCATGCAGGTAGATCAGTTAGGTCGTAAGCAAGAACATTGATATTTCCTACAAGAAATGTACGTGATTCAAGATTTCTTTTTTTACGATTCTCAGATGATACTCGAAGATCGCCAATATTTTCCCATTCCCCTGACTCCTGATTTAAAAACCAGAGGTGTGGCAAATCGTCTGATGATGGATCTATATTAGCCTTCTCGGCATCGATGAATAATTCCATGTCTCCGTCAACTCGCAATGGATTGTCGTTTTCGTCACTGAATTGCATTGTGAACATTCCGTATGTTTGTAATGGACTTCATTACCCTCGACGTCCCGTGTTGTTAAGTCACTCTGTATGGTGTCAATTACAGACTCTGCTATTGGATCTGTAAATGTTATACTACCTTTAACATTCCCTTCATACACAGAGCCATCTTCGCTGTGAAAAGCACCTGCTGGTATATCAAGTTCCATAGATGGAGTTACCTCTGAGCCGCCAAGGGGAATACTTGATGTTTCGCTCGCATTAAGGGTTATAGAAGGCGGCACGTATCTGAAGTGCTATGGTATGATAAGTCGTAGTGTCATCTTCAAGATCAAATATCACTGTCTTACTTATAAATTCATTCTTTCGATCTTTAAATGTGACTGAAATTCTTTTCTTACTTTTTAGCATCTCAAATTTGAATTCACCTTTGCTGTTTGTTTGCGCAATTTCAACTTTTTCACTGAGAAGTTTCGCAGCTCGGAGAGGTGATCTATCAACAGCGGATACAACTCGACCTCCACCTTAACTTGTTGTTTTAAGCATGGACCACAACTGCATCGAGTTATTACAGACACTACCATGTCAAACGTATCACATGATATGTTATGTGTACTATATAACAGAGGTATGCAACAATTATCCTGTGATACACTGCAAATGGTATCCTGGCAACCAGGACAAAGTTTGTTGCTACATTTACCAATGTCATAGTAACGTTTCTCAGAAGAAACATCTCTGCACTCTTCAGGCAGTTCTATTAATCCTTGTTCAGGCGTTGGATTACAAATTTCTTCATCCGATTCTGTTAAAAAAAAACATTATTTTGAATTAATTCACATACAACTTATATAGTTGTTTCAACAGTATTGAACGACGTACAAGTTTATATTAAACGTTGCTACAATTGTTTAATTTAACCATATTTTATATCGCATTCTCCTTGTCATGAAGTAACTGTGATAGATTATGTGAAATAGGATAGAATAATACAATAACTTGACAGTGATATGCAAACCTCGCTCTATTGAAAGCTAGTGGTAATTAAGGCTACTTGTATGTTTTGCAACAGCATGCATGATGAAATGTTTGTCTTTACAATAGCGAATGGGTGTGGCCATATTTGATGTGTTGTCACAATGCGTACGATAGAATAGGCAAAATGATAATGTATTTGTGCAAAGCCGATACTGATTGGCATGTATGCCGAGTCATTTTTTACCCAATCAGTATAATGTTTAATAAAAACAGAATGATATTATTCTGCGTCAAAGGATAGACTGATACTTGATTTAAATGTTAATGTGTCCAGGTACGAACGATAATGATGTCTTAATCCAGAAGATATTAATCTAAATGTACGCTGAGCTAGGTTACCACTTTGACTCCCTTCCAAAGCAATTCAGTCAGCCAGTCATCTAACCATAAAACCTATTGATCAATTCATAACTTACCAATTACAGTAAGTGATGCTCCAAGTGAATACATAGATCCTACTTCGCTATTGGCTCGACATGTGTACATTGCTTCGTCAGATTTACTAACATTATATAGGAATAGAAGATTGTTGTGTCCGTAGACGACTTCGTCAATTATAATTCCATCCTTAAACCTATGATATAAAAATAAAAAGGTGTTGCACATTTAAACGCCACAATTGTTCACATCATTTACTGTATTAATATACAGTATATTGCACTTGTTTATGTATTTTTCTGTAACTTTTATCCTATCGGTTGCAGATTAATAATCCTTTTTTAAATATGACAAAATTCTTGGTATTATTTGGAATAATAATTTCATACACATTACTCACTGTCGGTTATATTAATATATAAATAAATATGACAACCTACCATTCGTAGTATGATGGCTGTGGGTTGCTCTGTGCTAAGCAAGAGTATGATACATTCTGTCCAATATAACTAACTTGGTCCTCGGGATGGTCTGTTATTCTTAGAGGCTCTAATCAATTACATAATATAAAAAATGATTACTACTAATAATTAATAGAGGCAGGGCACGCAAGTTTAAATGTCACTATTTCAAGGTAGAAATCTGTTCATAAATGAAACATATCCATTTGTTGATTTAGCAATAAATAATTTACTCCAGCAAATATAGCATAATAAATAATGTTAATATTTTATTGAATGCTGGTCATTTTGTATGTAGTGTGGCGTGACGTATCCCAAATTATTTGCATATGAAAACATTTTGGTCACTCTAATAAAGTATATTTATTTCCAATTGATGTTCAGTATGTTCATAAAGTGGAAGAAATATTTACAATATATAAATGAAAAAAAAAACGACCAAAAATGTCAAAACAATCGACAAGAACAAAAGATAACAATTGATATGTACACAACCTTCGTATATAAATCAATATTATTATGAAAATATTTCGTGACCAATGACATTTTGAGTCCAATAGAAGAACATTTTAAAGCTATCGTTCATGTTGTCCAGAATGTACTTTATGTTTATTAATGAGACGTCGCATGATGGTTCTAATATTTTCACCCTGGCTTTCAGTGTAACTTCCCATGGCTTTCACTTTTACCATCTAACCTAATATATGATTGGCTATATGTGTCAATAACACATTGTCAAGTAATATACTTACCTATTCTATCGAGTTTTATGTTCAATGACGCAAATCTACCTTCTTGATTGTTTTCAACCGATGAAGTTGATGTATTCACATGCTTTGTTAA